CACACAAACACATAGACATACACACACACACCACATACCACATACCACATCAGGTGGTGCAGAGGATAGAGTGCTGGGCCTGGAGTCAGGAAGACTCAGCCTGAGTTCAAATCTAGCCTTAGACACTTACTAGCTGTGTGACCCTAGGCAAAGAGTTTTCTCTGTAAAATGAGCTGGAGAAGAAAATGACAAACCACTCCAGTATCTTTGCCAAGAAAACCTCAAATGGGGTCATGGACAGTTGGACCTGACTGAAAATGGCTGAACAACATAGATAGATAGATCAATAGATAGATCGATAGATAGAGATATTGGTTTTTGATATCCAGATCAGAACAACAATGGGCCCCATGGCTCATATTATTCTGTTCCCTTCTCTGGCTTTTAGCTTTGCCTAGAGAGGAGGTTTTTGGAAGTGGGGGTAAGCCAGCATCTCAAGACTGGGTTTCTAGGCAACAGAGAATAGGGCGGTTGCCAGGGGAGCAGGAGGCTGAGCGGGAAGTAGAGCTGTGCTGGGAATAACATAGTCACAAGCAGAGAGGAAGCCATCCGATGAGGGCTGGCTCTGGGCAAAGTTGCAAAGGAGCGAACTTGGTCTCTGGTGCCCTCCCATGGTTTCTTTCAGCACTCTGAGCAAATCATTTCTCTCTGAGTCGATTTCCCCTTCTCTAAAATAAGAGAGTTAGACTAAATGACTTTTAAGATCTCTTCTGGTTCTAAATCCCCTTCTCTTATGAGCTCTTTACCATCTCTTGGTCCCCTTCACCTCCAAGGACCCACTTGTCTCAAGGCTCCTTATTCCACCCAAACCCACACCCTTCCCTATTGCCCAAAACTATGCCTTATTGCTCACTTCCTATCTCTCTACCTTTCTGCCTATGAGGACTACTTTATTCAGTTTGTTATTCCTGCCAAGTGCTCAGTTAGCTGTCTGATAAGTGAGCTGATCAAGGAATGCATGTTAATGTGTAAATGACTGATAATAGCACGCTCTAGACAGCTCAGTAAAGGGTGGAAAAGGTACCAGATTTGAAATGAGAAGACCTAGGTTTGAGTTCTGGCTTTGACATGTATAAGTCTTGGGGGGTATGTCATTATATGTATCTGAACCTCAGTTTCCTCCTCTCTAAAATGGGGGCCAAATTATATTATCTATGTCACAGGATTATTGGAAGGAGAGTGCTTTATTACCTTAACTATTACATAACTATGAGCTGTTTTCGTTATCCTTGCCAGAAATATACACTTTAACAGGAGAAGATGAATGCTTTAACCCAAAGGAACAAAACTCTTAATTTCAGATACTATGATGTAATAGAAAAATAGAAGTGGAGAGGTATATTTTTCTAAGGAGTGCCTTTCTAGGGACTCTAAATCATTATCACATAGGAAAACCCACATGTATAAAATAAACCTTATGTTATATGATATATAGCAGTATGGTATTGTAACTAGTTGCTTTCAAAAAAAAAAGCCTGAAGCTCTTTCAGCGCAGAAATATCCCTCTCGTCATTAAGAATAGGATTTGACCACTCCTTCTATGATATATCTCAAGCTGTCCTTCCATGATTTCATTTCATCCCTTTCATTCTAGTCAAATCAACAGACTATTTTTTAGTCAGCCCCCATGTACTGGGGACTGGGTCATGTAAAAAGATGACACTAAATCTTCCCTCAAGGAATTTACAGCCAAATTGTTAGGACTAGGACATGTATATCAATGAATATGATGCCAAGTTGAGTAGAACAGAGTCAAAGGAAGGTTCCAGGGCAAGTGCTCCAAGAAAATAAATTTTTTCTTATACGTGAAGTCATGCAAAACTTATTTTCTTATTAGCCATGTTGCAAAAGAAAACACACATATATACAAAACCAAGAAAAATAAAGAAAGTGGGGAAAAAAAGTATGCTTCTATCTGCACTTAGAGTTCATCAGTTTTCTCTCAGGAGGTGGGTAGTATTTTTCATTGTGGGTCCTTCGGAACTATCTGCTCCAAGAAAATTTGAGGAGGGAGGAAGATCTCTGAAGTAGGAGAGTCAAGGAAAAGTACAGCAGGACTATCATCTCTTTATTCCTGGGTACTGTACCTCTAAACTAAGAACTGCATGAGTTGTTTTGACTTCCATATTACATGGTTAATTCATATTGAGTTTGCATTCCACTAAACCTGCCCCCCCCTTCCTCAATCCTTTTTTTTCCCCCCAGGTGGACTCCTGTCTAGCCCTGCCCCTCTATATTGTGCTTGGGAAGATGGCTTTTGGAACTCAAGCATAAGACTTTACATTTATCCCTATTAATTTCATCTTTGATTTCAACCAGTGTTTTTACTTGCCAAAATCTTTTTGAGTACTGACTGTCATGCGGTATGTTAGTTAAACCTCCCAGTTTCATGTGGAAGGTGATATTTGAGCTGTGTTTTGAAAATTAAAAAACAAGGGATTTTGAGAGGTACAGGTGAGATGGGAGCTCGTTTCAGGCACGAGGGTCAGCCAATGGAAAGGCATAGAGATGGGAATGTCATTTATGAGGAACAGCAAGACATCCAGTTCGGCTGGAACACAAAGTCTGGGAAAGGGAATAATGTATAATAAGACTGGAAAGTTAGGTTGGAGCCAGGCTATGAAGGGCTTTAAGCCTCAAGCAGAGGAGCTTATATTTGAATCTAGAGGCATTAGGGAACCATTGGAGTTTACCAAGGATGGGAATGACATGGTCAAAACTGGGCTTTAGGAAAATCACTTTGGCATCTGAAAGGGACTAAAGATCATCTTACCTAATTATTTCCTAAATTAATTTGTTCACAGAACACCTTAGGATTTGAAATCAATTGACAACCCATAAATACTGATCCAGGGGAACCTGAGAGCATGGAATACATTCCAATTGGGAATTGGAGAGCAAAATAAAGACTATTTGGCTTATTTTCATACTGAATATGATCACATAGGATAAATTATTATATATATATATACATATATATACATACACCCATATGTATGTGTGTATACACAGACATTTTCATATTTAATATGTGTATTAAGTCCGCCCAGACTCTAGCCCCTCTCTCACACAGAGTATATAGACAAATACTCTCTGTGCTTACTTGATTATTATGCTTTCACTCTCTGAGGTTCTTGGAGAAAGATCACCACCAAAAGGTAATGTTTAAATGTTCTCAGAGTCATTGGGGTAACCTTGTTGTCTTATAATGTGAATATAATCCCCCTACTCACCATCTTAGCTCTACGTCCCCTAGCAATTTGGTTCCTATTTAGAGAAAATTATTCACTCACAATAATGGTACTTTTAGATCTTAAATATAACGATTTACTTAATAATAAGGCAAAAAATACAATATCACAGGTGCTTATATTAAAGTAATTGTTTAAATAATAAATACATTACAAATCACACATAATCTTGGGTCAAACACTCCCACAAATACGTTAGGTGTCTGTGGGAGAGAATGAGCAAACATAGAAATCTTCCAAGGAGACACATGAATGAGAAAAACCCATGTACTTAGGGTAACTTACGACTCTGGAACTCTAAACTTCAGTGGCTTCTTTCTGCCTCAGGAATTGTCCAAAAAAGTTCCTTTGTGAACATAGCTTCTCAGCTGAACAGATGCTTCCGCTGCCAAACTCAGTTGATCCACACTATGCTGGACCAACCTTAGTGAGCAAGACATCTCAGCCAAACTAGCTGATCTGCTGGGTAACATTTTCTGATTTTTTTCTCAATTCCAAGCTGCTCTTCTGTTTAGCTAGACTTATTCCTCAATGGCAGCTATAGTGTCCATCACTTCTAGGTTTAAGCTTACTGATGTGGTTCTGAAACCTGTCCTTTCCTCTCTCTTCTCTCCCCTCCTCTATATGAACGACCTCACCTTAGCTTATGGTCGGTAACCAAATTCTCATCTGTCTCTAATTAGATAAATTACATCAATCCTGTAATGATATTACAGCTTCAGAGCTAATAAGGAAAATCATTCCTAGGCTTATGCCTTTGTATCTTTCCTCACACGCTTCTCCAGAGCCCCCATTGTTAGTGGATGGGTGTAGTTGATGAGATGAGAGAAGTTGACACCTAAAACAATTAGCCTTATAACTATTCCCCCATCACTGATACATATAGATGGAACAGTCTCTACCCCCCTATTGCATGTACACTTTTAACTTTTTTTTTCTTTCAGTCTGCCTTTGATAATATCTTATATGCAGGTGTATAGTACTTTATAATACACAAAACACAGTATCTATTTTACATCTTATAGCAACCCTATGAGGTGAGGACAAGAGGTATTTTTTTCAGCTGTAATAATATTTTGTTTTTTCCCAATTACATATAAAAACAATTTTAACTTTTTTTTTTAATTTTGAGTTAGAAATTTTCTCCCTCCCTCCTCTCCCTGTTCCCTGAGATGGTAAGCAATCTGATATAGGTTATACATGTGCAATTATGTAAAATATATTTCCATGTTAGTCATTTTCAAGCCAAAAAAAGAAAAAGAAAGAAAGTGGAAAATAATATGTTTCAGTCTGCATTCAGACTCCATCAGTTATTTCTCTGGAGGCATATAGCATTTTTCATCATGAGTCCTTTGGGATGACAACAGGTACTGTTAATTTTTTCAGATCAGAGATTGAAGTTCAGAGAGATTGTGATTTACCTGACTACATGAGCCATTAAATAGAAGAACAAGGACTTGAACCTAAGCTCTGTATCTCCAAATCCAATGCTTTCTCCACTCTATCCCGCTGCCTTTGATGTTCACTTGAACTTCATTTCAATCATTTACAAATGCCAGTGAGGCCTTTGTCCTGGACTACACCCCATTTGCAAGGCCTTAGCCTTATATCTCCCTAAGAATGACCATGCCTCTAGCTCAAATCTGAGGATAAAGACTGATAGATATCAGTGACTCCTTTGCCTTTAGAGATCATTCCCAGAGTGCAAACTTCACCAACCTTAATTCTTACCCTCCTCCCTGCTTGTAGGACCCTGAGAGTGAGCTACAGATTATCAGGAAAATGAGTGAAGAGAGTACCACTGAGGCTACCTCCCCCCCACCTCCCCAGGGGCAGCGCTACTTTGACCGATTCTCAGAAGATGACCCTGAATATATGCGCCTTCGAAACATGGCAGCTGACCTCCGGCAGGATTTCAACATGATGGAGCAGAAGAAGAGGGTCACCATGATCCTTCAGAGCCCTGTAAGTGGGATCTCTTCTAGGGCCAAAGGGCAGATTGAACTGGACATGTGTGTAAAGACTAAAGGGTAGGAAAAGGGCTAATTCTTGGGTTTTCTTTCTTATTTGGAAGTTTATTCTTTTAAGTCCTCTTTTAAATTTATAAATAGAATATCATTTTCTCATGCAGAGAAGGTGAAAATGTATGCCCAATGATCAGGAGTCTAATAAAAGATAAGCTGCCCCATCACTGAAGCTCCATAAGCAGAAGCTACTTCTTGAGGTTGTTATAGATGGGATTCTTATTCTCACAGTGGTTACACTTGAAAAGTCTCTTCCAACCTGAGATTCTGTGATTCTTTGAACTTGAAGTTCTGTTTCTGTATCCTCATAACTGGCAAGTTAGGGATTGTGGGCCAAAATACTAGTGGAAGTGGAGAGAATTAACCCTCTGCACTTCCACAGTACCAGCCCAGAGCCCTGATGAGTCTCTGAGAGTAGGAAGTTTGGCCAGAGAGGTAGAACAGTAAGTAGCCTGGGAGACAAGAGCCCCACATATGATGTCTTGATTATGACCTCAGTCTGGACAACCAGAGTAAACTTGGACCTTACAGCTAGCTCATCTAGTCCAGGCCCTCATTTTATAGTTGATGAAACTGAAACCCAGAAAGGAAAAGCCATGAGTATGGTTAATTAAGAAAATGTTTTCCTACTTTGGGAGAAAATAAGGTATTTTTTATTATAAGAGCTAATGATCTTTCAGAATACCTGGGTTCTATTCCAGTGTAGTGGTAAGAGTATTGAATTTGGAGTTTAGATCTTAACTTTGCTACCAATATGATATTGGGTAAAAAGTTGTGACCTTTTTCTAGCCTCAGTTTCCTTATCTGTAAAATGAAAAGATTGGACTAAAAGATCTCTGAAGTCTCTTTCAGCTTTAAATTCCATTCCTCTACATGTGTAAGACCGTTAACTCCCTATATAACTCTGGATCAGTCATGTAACTTCTTGGGGTCAACTGCCTAACTCAGAATAGTGAATCTGAGTCACAGAGTAGGGGAGCTCTCTGTCCTTGGGGTCTTCTCATTGTGACCTGACTAGAGCAATTTAGAGGTGGAGCTTCTCCTACAGAGATGATGGAATTGATCCCAGGGAACCAAGAAGGGTCAGACAGACCAGGGTCTGGCTGACTAAGGTACTCCCTACTGTTTTCCTCTACTCAAAAAAAAAAAAAGGTGGGACATTTTAGTCATCATCCCAGAGCTTCTTGACTGAAGGGAGGGAAGTGGGAGGTAGGGTCAAAAGTGGTGGAATTCTGGGAACTTGAATGATTTGTGAAGGAGCCAGCCACTACAAGAGCCATTGGATCCTTCTTCAGTCTTTCAGGGAGGAGCTGGAGAGCCTTATCCAAGAGCAGATGAAGAAAGGAAACAATTCTTCCAACATCTGGGCCTTGCGGCAGATCGCGGATTTCATGGCCAGCACCTCCCATGCTGTCTTTCCAACTTCTCCCATCAGTACGTGGGCAGAGGGAAGCTGGGGGCAGGGGATGAAAGAGAGGATGGGGAGCACAGAGGCGGCGGCTGTTGCCAGGTTACCAAACTGGGTGAGGCTGGGCTAATAGGCCCGGTGGGAATTGCAACCTCAGAGCTATTATCCCTTTGCTCTGTGTCTCTGTTGCTGCTGCCGAAATGCCTACTGCATAATTTTCCATACTCCATCTGGGGTGGGTGGATCCAAGGAAGAGACCCAAGGGAAAGGTCTCATGAATGCTAGTTATAAAGCTGATATTGAGAAAAAAATGAAAACACATGCATCATGGGGGCTTTCATGAAGGACCTCGTACCTTGTATAACACATTTATACACTAAGGTTTTACTGTATCTTAAATATGGTTATACTCCCTTGACATCATCATGGTATTCAAGTCTACTTAGAAATGCTGGGGTTTGGGAAGCAATTCAATGTTTTATTTTATTCCAGTCTTATTAATAAGAAATAAAGTTTCTTATTTTTGATAAGGAAGGAGAGAAGTCAAGTGACTAGTCCTTCTGCCCAGTTTTTAGGGCAGTCACTCTGTTGTCTCCTCTATCATCAGCCTTCTTAAGTCAGCCACTTAACTCAGTGAGCTCAGGAGCAATTCAGTTTGATTTCATGTCTGACCATTTGTCAGGTGTATCATGGAGGGAATTCCAGGTTAGACTAGATGGCCTTAAGGTCCAATCTGTAAATAGGTGGATTGTGAATCCAGACAAGTTACTTGTTTCAACAAACCTTCCTCTCCACCTCCCTTTTTTTAATCTACCTCCAGGGACTAAGCATTATGAATGCTATAACAGGGACAGGAGTCTGGACCCATGATTTTACTGGTATAGAGCACTCCCTGGTGAGGAAACCCCTCTACCAATGCAGAGTGGCATCTTCTCTGTAACTTCTAGTCACAGAGTTGCCTAGAGCACTGAGAAGGTAAGTGACTTTCCCAGGGTAACACAGCCTGTATGTATCAGAGAGAGGTCTTGAACCTTGGTCTTCCTGCTTCTGAATCTGGCTTTCTATCTACTGTACAATGCCGAGTCAAATAACAATATTTATTTGTGTATATTTTATAGATGCTTGTTTTGTATATACTCATGTGTACATGTTATCTTACCCTACAGTATACAAGCTCCCTGAGATCAAGGACCATTTGTTTTATGTCTTTGTATCCCCCAGCACCTAACACATTGCATGGCACATATTAGATGATTAACAAATGTTTGTTGATTGATGATAACCCACATTTATATAGTTAATGATTGCAAAGCACTTTAGCTCTATAAAGGTAGATAATTATTAGCCCCATTTTACAGAGGAAGAAACAGAAGCATGGAAAGGTTAAAGTGAATGGCCCAGTTGTCAGCGTCAGGGTTCAGAAACACAGGTTTCCTGGCTTCATGACTACCATATCATCTTTCCTTTAACCTAGACTTTTATCCTTGGCTAGACCAACCCCAGTGGACAGTGCTAAACAGAGAGTATGACCTAAGACTTGGTACAGTAAACTAGGAGTCAAGAAGTCCAGGTTATTGATTTTACTTGAGGATAAGTTAACTTCTTCTGAGCCTCAGTTTCCCCTACACTTCTGACAAAACAAATAATCTATAGGAAGACCTTGAAAGTAACAGAATTATTAAGAAATTAGCACCATTTCTAAGGAGGGGGAGCATGGAGTAGTAGATGGAGAACCGGCTTCCAAGGCCAGAAGACCTCATTTCACCTCTGACCCAGGCAGGGTATATGATTCTGAGAAAGTTATGTAACTTCTCTGTGCTCAACGTCTAGGCAATTGGTTGCAGAAATTGTCCCGACCCACATTGGTAAAGGGAGTTTTCTCATCAAAGATTTTCCTGTACCAATAAAATCCCAGCCTGTATCCCTATCCTATTGCTTATAACCCATGTAATGTCTCTACTACTGGAGTGTTAGGAAGAGTTTTGACTCTGGGAAGGCCGGGGAAGGAGAGAAGAATCCAGTGGCCAGGTTGCCTGATCCTGGGGTATCAGCTCTGCTCCCCCACTCCCCTGCCCCTCTGTAGATCTCTCCATGATGACCCCCATCAACGACCTCCACAGTGCTGACTTGCCAAACTTGGCCAAAGGGGAACGGCTCATGCGCTGCAAGATTGGCAGTGTCTACCGGCTCTTAGACCTATATGGATGGGCCCAACTGAGCGACACCTATGTCACGGTGAGCAGAAAGGGGGAGATGGTGGGAAGGCAAGTGGGGGTGGTGCGGGAGGCCAAATAATAACCCCACAATGTCCACCCAGAGGGACTCCAACTCTTGGCTATGCTGTAGGGTATCAACCAAAATGGCCTTCCATGAATTCTATCCACTATGACCATCCGGAGCAGAGGCAGTGAATGGGCACATCCCTCTTGTGTGGGCTGTTTTATTCTCAGCTCCTCTCTTGATCCACCATTTGAATCCTTTCCTTTCTCTGCCTAGATTTCCCCAGTTCCAGAGAAAAAGCAAACCTCTTCTACTTTCTTCTTCTCTCCCGAGAGAATATAGTAGATGAAGTTATTTGAGATGCCAAGTGTAAAGTGGTGGGGGCTTGAAAGAAAGGGATTAGGCAAATAACCAGAGACACTTGCAAGTTCAGAGACTGAACACCAAACTTCAGGGAACAACAAAGAGCGGAGTGCTCATGGGAGTATATCAGTTAGTCCTAGACCAGAGTTTTCTCTTAAACTTCTGTGTCCTTCCTTCAGCTGAGAGTCAGCAAAGAGCAGGATCACTTCCTGATTAGTCCCAAAGGCCTCTCCTGCAGCGAAGTAACAGCGTCCAGTCTGGTGAGTACCGGTCAGTCATTTTACAGCCCCTCTCTTCACTGTCAGTCCTCATTAAGAAAGAAGACCATCCCTCCATATTTGGAGTTCACCACCATTTAAGTATTAGTTATGCCCTCATTACCTATTACTCTGCCCTCTAAATCAACATATAATATAGTTCATACCTATAACCTTCCCTTTAATTTAGTGTCTTTAATTCCTTAAGAAACTGCTACAACAGCCTACTGATTGGTCTCCCTGACTCAAGTCTCTCCCCACTCCAGTCCTTCCTCTTTTCAGCAGTCAATATGATCTCCCAAAACATGAGTGTGATCATGTCACCCATAAACTCCAGTGGCTCCCTATTGTCTCAAGGATCAGATACAAAATCATCTGTTTGGCTTTCAAAGTCCTTCATAAGTTGGCCCCTTCCTGACCTTCCAGTCTTCTTACACCTTGCTCTCCCCAGTATACTCTGTGATCCAGTGACAAAGGCCTCCTTACTGTTTTTCCCATGTCTCCATCTCCTGACTCGAGGCATTTTCATGGGCTGTCTGCCGTGTCTGGAATACTCTCCATCCTGATCTCTGCCTCTTGACTTTCATGGCTTCCTTTAAGTCTCAGCTAAACATCCTACTTTCTATAGGAAGCCTTTCCCAGTCCTCTTTAATTTTAGTGACTTCCCTGAGATTACCCCCAATTTATCATATGTATGATAAAGATATGTGTGTGTATGTGTGTATATATACATATATGTGTGGGTATATATACATATGTCTATAAATGTATATATGTAATATGTGTAAGTGTATATATATGTCTGTAAATGTATATATACATGTATCTTGTTTGTATATAGTTATTTGCATATTGTCTCCGCCATTAGATTATGAGCTCCATGAGAGCAGGGATTGTTTTATTGCCTTTCTTTGTATCTCCAGCACTTAACACAGGCCCTGGAGCATAACTTAATAAATGCTACTTGACTCACTGACATAGGGCACCATAGTCATAAATCCAAGATAAGATTTCAGGGTTCTAGACTACTTCTTAGAACATAAAATCACCAAGTTATTCAAATTAGAAAGGATTATAGAGATCAACTTGCCCAGCTGACTCATTTTTCAGTTGGAAACTGAGGGTCAGGAATGTGACTTACCCTGGAATCCCTAGATTTCTACAAGACTCAAGGGCCATCTTTTATGTAAAACCTTTCCTTTGGGGCAGCTAGGTGGCACAGTGGATAGAGCCCTGGCCCTGGATTCAGGAGGACCTGCGTTCAAATGTGGCCTTAGACACATAACACTCACTAGCTGTGTGACTCTGGGCAAGTCATTTAACCCCAACTGCCTCACAAAAAAACCCCAAAAAACCTTTTCCTTATTCTTCCAACTGCTAATGCCATCCCCTTCCACCCATCACCTAGTATCTATTTTGTAATGTTTTATATATATGTATATATGTGTGTGTATGTGTGTGTGTGTGTGTGTGTGTGTGCATGTATTAAAACACACACATACACATATATGTCTCTCCTGAGGGAATGCAAGCTCTTTAAGGGAAGGGAGTATTTTACTTATTTGCTTTGCATCCCCAGTGTCTAGTACACTGCTTGGCACATAGTTGAAGCTAAATAAATACTTGCAGATAGATTAATTGATTCTACTACACCACCTCGCCTTTCTGACATTGCTTCCACTTTTTAGGATTGTAAGACCACAGGAACATAGATTCAGGGCTGAAAAAGACCATAAAAGTCATTGGTTCAACCCTTTTACTTCTCAGATAAGGACATTGAGAACCTAAGAGGGGAAGTGACTTCCCCAGGGTTATAAAGGGACAAATTAGGAGAGCCAAAATGTGAACCCGATTTTAGAAGGTAGTGTGATCCAATGGAAAGAGCACTGGTTCTGGAATCAGAGGTTATGGGTTCATAGCCCACCTCTGATGCATATGACCTATCTTGTATATATCTTGTATCTACTTGTCTATATACATGCTATTATCTATAGACACAGTAAAATTTAAACTTATCTAGCACAGGAACTGATTTTGTGCCAGTGCCTGGCACACAGCAAGTGCTTAATAAATGTTGAATTGGATTGAACTTCATGAAAGAAGTCTGACTTTAGCTAGACTTTGAAGATGAGTTGGGAATTAGGTATAAAGGAGGAGGAATGATTTCCAGGTGAGGGGATGTATTAGAATATAAGTCCTGCCTCTTCCCTCTCTAGTCTGGGATTTCAAAGCAACATACTCAGTTGATCTAGCTACCATATTGATAGTATTCGAATGAATCTATTGATGTACCCTTACTGCTTCTCCTGGATCTCAATGTTGATTGTGATTTCTACACATGAAGGAATTCATGTGATAGTCCCAGGTAACCAGCCCTGCCCAGAAATTTTAGGTTAGGTCTAAGTAGTGGTAGTATTGGGAATGGGGGGCAAGATCTGTGCATTTTTTAAAAAAAGTAGATTAAGTAGATTTTTAAAGTAGATTAAGAGAACTAGAACCTTTTACATATGTTCCAATATAGGATAAACAGATCACAGACACCTTTGAATATACTAGTCATTAAGTAGGTCAGATAAGGCTGAGGGAATCATGGCTAAATAATACTATCCAGTGGAAAAGATCTGAAGATCTTAGCTGTCGATATAAGCTAACATCATGATATAATCTCCAATTTTAAAAAAATGGAAATTAGATCTTAAGAAATGAGGGAGTTTATAAACACAGGAGCTGCTAGATTTCCTTTGCTGTCAGGGGCTACACTTAATGAACTTATCCAACTGTATCACCCTCCTGTCTTGGACTTTTGTAGCAATAATTTAAATGTTGACACATTATAGAAAAGTCACCAAATAAGCCTGAGGCACTATTACTGTTTCTTATTAATTCTGACAATGTACCTAATTCTTGTGAATGGTGGTTAACTGTGATTCTCTTTGTCTTCTTTTCTGTAAAATTGAGGGCCATTTTACATTTCCCCTATTCCATGGGTTGCCATTTCCAAGGAACTCAATACATAGGCCCCTCCACCCTTTGGGAGGCAAGGCCTCAGACAACAGACACACAGACTGTTGCCAGGCCTTACTTAAAGTCTTTCCAGCTTGAGATATAACTTTTAGAAGCCATCAGAGTCATCCTAGTAGCTGAGATCTTTGGGGGAGTGTAGATTCCTAGTTTGACCATGAGAAGAGGGAAGAAATTGACTAAAGAGAAAACCATATCCCGGGAGGGAATTCTGAGAAAGTTTTCTTTAATACATCAGCCTCATAAAGGGGTGAAGGGGTTAAACAGAAAAATTATCAGATTCTATGAAAATTATATGTTTAAAGTGTGGGAAAATTGTTCCTGAGACTGGGATCATTAGTGAGGGCTCAGAAAGTTTTAAAGCAATAGTCTGCCAGTTACTTTCATTCTATTAGACCAGCATATCAGTAATGTCAGCTTGGAGGAAGGCCGAGAGTGAAAGCTGCAGGGCCCTGTCCTGTTCTCCATTTTTATGAGTGGCATGGATAAAAGCGGAGAACAAATGCTTATCAAAGCTGAAGATGACAAAAGGTTGGCAGGAATAGATATTAGATGACAGAGGTAGAATATAGCAATATCTCAGATGGCTAGAACGATGAGCCAAGTTTAGCTAGATGAAACTTAATTAAGGGTAAATGTGAAATCCTTCATTTAAAATGAAACAGTCAAGTTCACAATATAGGTTAGATAAGGTGCCAGTGAAAAGGGTCTTATGGTCTTAGTGGATGGCAAAATTAATATGAGCCAATAGCATGACATGTCAGCCCCCAAAGGTAATATATCTGAAGTTATACTGATTGAAATGAGAACAATATGGGGCAGCTAGGTGGCGCAGTGGATAGAGCACCAGCCCTGAAGTCAGGAGGACCTCAGTTCAAATCTGGCCTCAGACCAAACACTTGACACTTACTAACTGTGTGACCTGGGCAAGTCACTTAACCCTAATTGCCTAAAAAAAAAAAAAAAAAAAAGAAATGAAAACAGTGAGAGCCCTGCCTTCTGACCTGATCAGAACACATTTCTGGTATTGTATTCAGTTCTGGACAGTTCAGTTTAAGGAGGTACCTTAATTAGCTGGAGAATCAGCTAGGATCAACTGCCCATCTAATGGAGGGAAATCAGGATGTTGAATGGTCTGGAAATCATAAGAAATCTTTAAAGGATGTAGTGATATTCAGTCTAGAAAAAGGGAGGATTTAAGAAGTCATTGTCTTCAAATTGCTGAAGTTTGTCTTCAGAAAGAGGAATTAAACATATTCTATAAGAAGGCAGAACCATGCTGTGGGTGAGGATAAAAGAAAGGCAAATTGTGACTCAGACTAATTGTGACTAAGACCTTTCCAATACTTAGAGCTATCCTACAGTGGAATGGACTGACTTCTGAGGTAGTGGATTCCTCATCATTGAAAGTATCCCGAAAGAGACTGAATGACCATATGGTACAGATGTGTAGAGGATGATCAATCAGGTTGAACTAGATAATCTATAATCATCACAGCAGCTAGGTGACGTAGTGGATAGACTGCTGGACCTGGAGTCAGGAAGACCTGTGGCTTCAGACACTTAGTAGCTGTGTGACCTTAGGCAAGTTACTTAACCCTGTTTGCCTCAATTTCCTCATCTGTAAATTGAGGTAGAGAAGGAAATGGTAAACCACTTTAGTATCTTTGCCAAGAAAACCCAAAATGTGGTCACATAGAGTCAGACATGACTGAAACAACCGAACAGCAACAAAATCATCAAACGGACTTTTAGAGCTGAAAGAACGTTAGGCAACACCTAATCTAACCTCATTTTACTGATGAGGAAACTGAGGCTCAGAGAGGTATGTTTATTGCTCTTGGTTTCATTCACAGACAGCCTAACAAGAACATTGTTGTTATCCAATACAGAGTTGGAAAGCTACACTTGATTACTGAAACTAATCAAGTTCAATCAATTTAACATGGCCAACTTTGTTATAAAAGAGCTTTGTTCCTAGTGGATTAGATAATTGACTTACCATTGTATTTTTTTCTAATAACTTTACCTTGGCTTCTTCAGAGAGATACTGAGAATTTTGCAAATGTCCTAACATTTAACCTCCTGCATATATTGACTTTTAAACTTCTAAGTTTCCTGCAGAGTTCTAGGAAAATGGAATTTTGTAAAAATGGTAATTTGCTGTAAACACTTACCACTTCATAGGATTTGTAGCTGGAGATCATCTAGACTAACCCCTTATTTTGCAGATGAGGAAAATGAAGTAGAGAAAGCCCAGGGAACTTGTCCAAGGCCTCACAGCTACTAAGTGACAGAGCTAGGATTCAAACCCAGGCCTTCTAACAACAAATATGGAGCTCATACAGCTGCCCACCAGAAACAATTAGAATCTGTGTCACTTTCCCAAACATCAGGGTCTCTCTCTATCCTTCCCTTGGCTACCCATGTGATTTGCTCAGCTTTTTAGACCCAGTGTAATTTTCAGGAGATAGAGGCAAACTCTGAAATCAGCAAGTGTTCCATATTAAGAAAACCAATAAAAAATTTTGATTCTTAAAATCCACTAAGTCTTAAAATCCACTAATTAAAGTCTGGTTTTGTTGTTGTTTGTTTTAGAGTTTTGTTTTGAGTTTCGTGTTGCTTTGCTTTGTTTGGGGTATTTTTGAGACTGCATCTCCCCATCTCCCCTAGGCTGGAAGTGCAGCAATGACTCATGGGCCTAATCCCACTGTGGATCAGTATAGAAGTTTTAACCTGCTCCATTCCCAACCTGGACCAGTTTAACCCCTCCTTAGTCTGTCAAGTTCACCCCACTCCCAGAGACTCATCACATTGGTGCCATATTTAGTGGACATTGGATTTAACTTTAGCCCTGTTGTAGCTCAGAACTCCTGAGCTCAAGCAATCTATCAGTCTCAGCACACTCCAGTAGGAAAGATTACAAGAGTATATTACTATGTTTGGCAAATATGTTGTTTTTAAAAACAGAAGATCTATGAATATCTTTAAAGAAAAATTTTATTCTAATTCCTTCAAATATAATTTTTAGTCATTATCTTCTACCTAACAAAAACAAGAAACATTTATCAAGTGCTTGCTATGCCCAAGGCACTGTGTTAAGCACTGGAGTTACAAAAAAAAAAAAAAAGGCAAAAAAGAGTCCCTGCTCTCAAGGAGCTCACAATCTAATGGTGGAGATAACATGGAAACAACTATATACAAGCAAAATATATACAGGATAAATTAGGGATAGTCATATTGGGAAGGCACTAAGATTGATGAGGACTGGAAAAGGCTTCTTATAGAAGGTGGAATTTTAAATGAGACTTGAAGGAAGTCGTGGAAGGCAATAGGTGGAGATAAAGAGAGAGAGTATTCTAGGCATAGGGGATAGACAGTGAAAACATTTGTGTTAAGAGATGGAGTGTGTTGTGAGAAGAGCAACAAGGAGGTCTATGTCACTCAATCACAGAGGATGTAGAGGGGAGTAAGGTATAAGAAGACTGGAAAGATAGGGAGGAGCCAGGTTATGAAAGGCTTTGAAAGCCAAGCAGAGGACTTTATATTTGATCCTGGAAATAATAGGGAGCCACTGGAGTTTACTGAATAGAGCAGCAACATAGTCACACCTGTGTTTTAGAAAAATCAATTTGACAACTAAATGGAGGATAGATTGGAGTAGAGAGAGACTCCAATCAGTTGATTATGTTACTTTTGAGTCAGGGAAACCAACCAGCAGCCTAATAACAATAGTATAGAGGTGAGGTGATGAAGGTAGTAGTGTTGTCAGAGAAGAGAAGGGGACAAATCTACATCAAAGATGTTACAAAGGTAGAAATGACAGAACTTGATAACTGATTTGATACAGGGAGTGAGACAGAGTGAGGAGCTCAGGGTGACTTCTAGTTTGTGAGCCCAGGTGACTGGAGTTTGGTGGTGCCCTCAACAGTAACAGGAAAATTAGTAGGAAGGAAGGTTTGGTTAAAAAGATAATGAGCTTTGGATGTGTTGAGCTTAAGATGTTTACAGGATATCCAAGTTGACATGTCCAATAGGCAGTTACAAATACAAGACTGGAGGTCAGGAAAAAGTTTAGGATTGGACAAATTGATCTATGAGTCATCTACATAGACATGATAATTGAATCCATGGTTGGTCTCCCTAACTGAAGTCTTTCCCTATTCCAGACCAAACTGGAAAATGCATTCTCAACATCTGTAGTCCAAACTAAACTACCCTCCAACCCCCAGAGATAAAAACCTTTGAGTGCAGCCCAGTCTTAATCCAACACCATAGTTATCAGCCACGTGCCCACTTTAGAAAAGCAGAAGCCATGAATTAACAAACTCGTTTATCACGTGAACACAAAGGGCACTCTGTTTCACTGTCTGGGTGATGGTCACCTCTTGCCACTGAACAGTCAGGTTAATCAAGATTCTGTAATGCTGCTTCTTTGTCCAGACTGAACAGTCTCTAAAGGTTGCCAAAGAAATACTGGACTCTAAAAGAAAATTTGGATTTTATTAAGTCCAAATTCCCACTTGACAGGAACAGAGATGTCTCCTTGGACTGCTATATTGCTGTGGCATCCATGCTCAGAATTTCAGTCTTAGCAGGAAACAGGGATCGGTGTAGCATAGGGACAGCCATTTACCTTTATGGACATTTCCTTCCATTCCTCCTTCTCCTGTTTCAGTTTTTGTGCTTCTCACTTCCAACTTCTTCAACAATTTAAGATCACAAAATGACCAATTTGGAGGTAGAAGAGATCTTAGAGGCCATCTGTCTCTCTTATTTTACAAATGTGAAACTAACGTCTAGAAAGGTTAAATGATTTTCACAAAGCCATACAAGAAATCAGCGACAGAGGCAGTATTTGAACTCAGGTCCTCTACTTCCAAATTCACTGTTTTTTTTAACCATACAACACTAACTCAGGTGACATCATCCTTTTAGGCATACTCATATAGAATTCTGGGAAATGTCATTTCCAAAAGAACAGGATCTAATACCAAAGAAAGGACTTGGTCCACCATGGAACTTGGTACCATCTTCCATCTATAATGTTTTAAGGTTTACAGAGTACTTTCCTCACAACTATGTGGAGTGGGAAATAAAAAACATACATACATACATACATACATATATATATATATATATATATATATATATATATATATTCAAAGACCTCAAATGATATTACAACATAGAAACACAAGAGGGCAGTCAAATCAACATGCCTTACATTCTTAGGTTTTGTGATTTTGCCTCTGTACATATCCTTCCACCAATGCAGATTTCAGCCCCTCCACATTTTAACAGGACCAGTCTTCATCTGGTGCTGGGGCCAACATGAGTTATCATCTAATGTCCAACCTTTTGATGATGAGCATCTCCACACTTAGCTAGACTAGTCCTCAGATGACAATGAGCATTTATTAAGTGTCTACTGTATACCAGGAACTGGAGTTATGAAAACAAAAGAAAGGAGACAGGCCCTACTCCCATCAAGGGAGACAATGTATCCCTAAAGCAATATGTACCAAAGAAAATCTACCAAAGTAGATATAAGATAGGGAAGAATGGTACCATACTTGGAGCAGATCAGGAAAGGCTTCGTGTAGAAGGTGGTTGCTTGCTCTGAATTTTAAAGAAAATGAGAGATTCTACGAGGTGATAAGGAGGAAGCATATTACACGCATGGGAGACAGTCAATGCAAAGGGATGAAGATAGGAGATAACAGGCCATTGCACTCCAGTGGCAGACACATGCTCTGTTGCTCAGCCCCTGCTGGAACCCTTTCCATGTTAGTAAGACCTGCCAAAGTCTCCCTCCCCTGGAAGAGTTATATTGTTTTTTGGGTTTTGTTTTTTTTTTTTAGCTAGGCAATGGTGTTAAGTGACTTGCCCAGGGTCACACAGCTGGTAAGTGTCAATCCGGATTTGAACTCAGGTCCATCTGAGGACTAGTCTAGCTAAGTGTGGAGATGCTCGTCATCAAAAGGTTGGACATTAGATGATAACTCATGTTGGCCCCAGCACCAGATGAAGACTGGTCCTCCTGACTCCAGGGCCAGTGCTCTATCCACGCCCTGAAAGAGTTTTTAAGAAATCAGGATCACCTCCTCACAATTATGAGACATTGAAACAGGACAAGAATTCATCAAATTAGCAAATGTTGGCAAACCCTGAATTAAAGGTACTGATGAGGAAAGATAAATTGCCAAGGGTAATTGGCAATCTACCTAATCTACCTAATCCAGGGTAGAGGTGTAGTGTGTGTGTGTGTGTGTGTGTGTGTGTGTGCGCGTGTTTGAACATGTATATGTGGTTGCAGGAGTTACACGTGTGCACATGTATCTTCCTTGCTGTCAGTGACCCTTCTCTGCTTTGCCCTGTTCCTCAGATCAAAGTGAATATCCTCGGTGAAGTGGTAGAGAAAGGCAGCAGCAGCTTCCCAGTGGATCCCACAGGCTTCAGTCTGCATTCAGCCATTTACGCAGCCAGGCCTGACGTGAGGTGCATCATCCACCTGCATACCCCGGCCACAGCAGCAGTAAGTGGTTCACCAGTCTTCCTCTAGCCCCAAGATAGTCTGTCTACCAATCATCACATCCTTACTCGATAGTTCTTTCCCTGAGGCCAGCAGTCTAATTTGTCCCATTAAGTCACAAGTTCATCCTTTAAAATACTACTGGCCATTACCATCTGGACTGGAGACCCCACAGAGATTTCCCAATACTTTGTTTGCCAAAGAAACCGAGCCAGCCAGACTGTGGTTCCATTCCCTCAGCATGTGCTATGATCTTTGGGATCATTCATGATCCTTGGCCAGTAGCCTTATTTTCAGTGCCCAGGCTAAGGTCTGTCAGTTCAGGAACAAACAGAATTCCCAAAGTGTGTCAGTGAGACAAATATTTATTAAGCCCCTGCTATATGCCAGACATTGTGCTAAGTGCTTGGGACATAAGGAAAGGCTAACAAACAATGTTTGCTCTCACAGAACTTACAGTCTGATATGGATTCCCATTCCCTAAATTGATCTCCAGGGTGCAGAGAAAATAAGGGATGGCAATGGTTTCTTGCCCCTCTCCAACCATGACAAAAATCAATCAGTGGATCAATAAACATTTGTCAAATGCCAACAGTATGCGTCTTTGAATTAAATGGCAAAATTACTGCCCTTGAGGAGCTGACAATCATCTTGCCTATGCTCCAGGACCATAAACTTACATTTATATATTAGTAGCACCCTTGTGCCAATCATACAAATCTGACACTTTGGCATTATCCTGTCCATCCTTCTGGTAGAGTGTAAACTGCTTGAGGGCAGAGATTGTTTTGTTTAGTTTTTCTGTGTACCCCTAGCACCTAGCGTAATGCCTTCTATATGGACTAACGGTAGGAATTGGATTTGCGATTTCATTGGTACAGGGAGCTCCTAGTGGGGGAATTTTCTCTACCAGTGAAGGTCATCCATCACCTTCTCCACAATTTATTTATAGTCTTAGAAAGTGGCCTAGAGCACTGAGAAGTTAAGTGAATTCCTTAGGGTCACATAACTAGGGTGAGCGATAGGCAGAACTGTAAGCCTGAATATAGAATATGTTCACTAGTTTTTACAAAATTCATTGGATTAGATTGGCTTGAATCCAGTTACTATCTAATAAAGGGGAAGAATCTAGTTTTCAATAGAAGGTAGTGGAATCTTGACTATACCCACCTTTCCATGCACTGTTTTGGGATTAGAATGAAAAAGATGGGAGAGAAGAAAAGAAGGGAGGGGAAGAGGTATACTCTGGAGTCGACAGCACCTTCTCTGAAGTGAGGAAGTGAAATTAAAGCTGTCAAAAGGACAGGAATTTCCCCTCCTCAACCAGTGTGCTTTCACCCAATAAAGATATGCTATCTGTGCTTATCAGAACTCAGTTCTGGGGGTGAGGAATGAGGCCTTTTATCTCTTAGAAAAAGAATCCTCCCCAAGACCAGCCATATAAGGTCTCCTAGCTGCTGTGAATGGGACCTAGACCACGGTGGGGGTAATTCATATTAATGGCAAGTGTCCATCACCCTCTCCTCATTTAACTTTATGTCAGGCTATGAGCCTTCTGGGTCCAAGTGGCTCTTTTTGGTCTGATGCTCCCTCCAGCAAAGCTTATGGTAACAAAATTTAAACTTCTGGGTTTAATACTGAAAATTAATGAGTTTTTATTATGTGAAACATGCACAGAACATAGAAAAATTGGAGGGAAGGAAGGAAGGAGGAAAGGAGGTAGAGAATGAAAGGAAGGGAAGAAAGGAGGAAAGGGAGGAAGGAAGGAGAGGAGAGAGGGAAAGAAAAGAAAGAGAAGGGAGGGAAGAAAAGAAAGAAGGAAAGGGAGAAAAGTAAGGAAAATTAAGAGAAGGCCAAAAAGAAGGATGCTGTTATAACTTATCTTCATGTTTCCTGTAATGTATAGCCCCTCATTTTCATTGTAACATAGGGAGGTTATAATATGGGTATTAGTCTTATGTCTTGAAGCATTTATAATGTGCATGTTATATATACATATACACACAAATATATAAAGGCTATGCCACTAATAATGGAGCTTCTTAGACATCTTAGTTTTACCATGTCTGTCCTGTAAGCCAGTCCTAACACTGTGGACCTCAATGGCTCTATCCACTGTCACTTATACACCTTGAGACACCTTGATATTCTCCAGGCCCTGGTTCTTCACACTAGTTCTAACCCTTTGGGTCAGAAGCAAGGGAAAATGGCAAAAATGATAGCACACAGGATGGTGGCGTTTCTTATTGTCTCACTAAAGGTGTCAGCCATGAAGTGGGGCCTCCTACCCATCTCCCATGATGCACTGCTGGTGGGGGACATGGTATACTATGACTTCAATGGAGAAATGGAAGAGGAAGCTGATCGGATCAATCTGCAGAAGTGCCTTGGACCCACCTGCAAGGTTTGGTTTGGGGCTACAGGCAGAAGGCTCTGGTGTGGGCCTTGTCACAGACTAGTGTTGTAGTTACAATTGTACTTTAAGGGTGGTATTAAGTGGGGAGATGGTAAGCTTAGTGGGGAGAGAGTCCTATGCTGGAAATCAAGAATAGCCTCATTGGACAACTTGCTTTCCCTTAGCTTGCCTATCAGTAAACTGACGATAATACAAATTGTTCTTTGAGGGATCGTGGAGTCATGGAACCTTAAGGGCTAGCTGGTCCAATTCCATGCCAGATGGATGAATACCCCTCTCTACAAAATCTTTGACAAGAGGCTATACAGTCTCTGCATGAACATATCCTGTGACAGGAAGCTCATTATCTCACCAGTGTGACTCTACTTACTGTTGGTGTGACCTTGATCAAGTCTCTTCTTTGGTTTAAGATCTCTTCCAATTCTAAATCTTATAGCCCAAGGCAGACAATTTCATTTCTAGATCACCTTCAGACATTAAGACATTCTGTATATTATGGTAATGATCAATAATCATATTGATAATGGTAGCTAGCATTTTATAGTACTAAAATACTATAAAGATTTGCAAAATATTTTACAAACTTTTATCTCATTTTATCCTCACAACAACCTTGAGCTGTTGTTGTTATGCTATTATTACCCTTATTTTGTTGTTGTTTAGTTGTTTTTCAGCTGCTTGACTATTCATGACTCCATTTTGGGGTTTTCTTGACAAAGATACTGGTTTGCCAGTTTCCTTCTCCACTTCATTTTACAGATGAGAAAACTGAGGCAAACAGAGTTAAGTGACTTGCCCAGGGTAACACAGCTAGTCAGTGTCTGAAGCTAGATTTGAACTCGTGAAGATGAATCTTCCTGATTCCAAGCCCAGTGCTCTATGCACTGTACCACCTTGATGCCCCTTCCTTATTTTACAGATAGGAAACTGAAGTAAATAGAGATTAAGTGACTTATCCAAGATCACATAGCTAGTAAGTGTCTGAGGACAAATTCGAACTCAGGTACTCCTAAATCCAGATTCAATGCTCTATCTACTGCACTACCTAGTTGACTCAAGATATTGAGCCAATTTCCTCTTTGTGCCTTTCATTCATTGTTCCTAGTTTTGTCCTCTGGGCCAAACAGAAAAAAAAAATCTATCTCTTCTACATAACAGTTCTTCAAATACTTGAATGTTACAAAGATAATGGCTCCATAATAGAGGTTTTGCATATTTATTTATACTTAATAATATGGCTCAGCATCCTAGGCTTTTTGAGTCAGAAGCCAGGTCAAATGGTGCCAGTACAGAAGAATCTGAGAGAGGTGTGTCTTGGTTTTTTTGGGGGGAGAGGAAGATGACCCAGAAAATAGCAATTATCACCTACATCACTTTCTTTTCACAAATCTATAAGCTTTACATGTTCTTCACAAGTTATTTGAGTTGAGAAGTAAGAGAAAAGAGTTAGCTTAGTACAATGGCAAGAACATTTACTATGGAGTAACAGGACTTGGGTTCAAATCCTGTCTCTGATGTTTACTTCCTGTGTTACCTTAAACAAATCACTTTAACTCCCTAGGTGTCAGTTTCCTAATCTATAAGCAGCCTGTATGGAGAATAGACGAGAAGATACAAAGCAATTTGGCTCAATTTTAGTCACATATGCCAGCCACAAGATTTCAATGAACATCTGAGCAGAAATATTCAATCCCTCAGTGCTGCCCTCACTGAGCAATACATTGGAATGTTGATGACAGTGGAGAAAAAGAGGAGATTATGATCTACCCCATTATATGATAGAGTGATGTGCAGTCTCTGCCTGATCTCATGACAGAGGAAGCACTCCAGGGAGGTCCCGGGTCATAGGCATATTGAGGGAAGTTTATCAAAGCAGGAGATATACTAGGCAGGTTATGTAGCAAAGATGACGGACTTTAAGTGGACTGGAGAATTTATATACTAATTCCCACAGGTCCACAAACTGCCAGAGAGGCAGCTAAAAACTCAGTAGGTTGGGCCAGTGGTCTGGTTGTTTGGACAGTTGTGGAAAAAGTATGTTTTGTGAACTTTATAAATGTCAACACTTTATAATTAATATAAATGTCAACTTATAATTTGTTTTAAATCTGTACTGAGCAACAGTCTGTTTGAATGTAGATTGAATATTATAAAGTGGGGTGAAATTCTAACATCAATGAATGCTCTGAGATTTTGCGAGAAGGGAGCATTCATAATTATGTGCAATAGCCTTTGAAGGTCGGAAGGCACCAACTCTTTGAAAGACATCAAGGAGGAGAAAGGCAGACTCTTGCCAGAAGGGGAAAATGAAGGCATGTGCTTCAGCTCGGCCCAGGTGCATAGACACACCATTAGAACTGACAGAGGTTCTAGGCTGATGTCAATGCTTACATGGATTCACAAAATTAGGGTCAAGATTTAGAGCTGGAAGGTCTCTTGGACATCATATCGCTTAAAGCCAGAAAGGACCTCAGAGATCAGCTACACCAACCCTTCATTTTACAGATGAAGAAACTAAGGCAACTTTTCCAAGGTCATACAGCTACTAAGTATGAGATCTGAGAATCAAATTCAAATCATCAGATTCCAAATTCAGTGCCCTTTCTACTAAGCACTTTAAGAAAACCATGCAAGAAAAATTTGGAGAATGGTAGGGTAGGAAGGGAAAGGAACCTTGGAAAAGAGTCATGTTCTTGAAACAGGTCCATCTCTGATTTTCCTTTTTCACTCTTGTCTGTCCTAGACATTCTTCCTGGAACCTTGATTCCTTTGCTGCTCCAATGCATAGTCCATATTAATCTATATTGAGCAAACAGAGTTTCAGGCTGCCAGTATCAACATTGACAACGCATATAACCATTTTGATTCATAGAGCTTAGCGATCATCTATTCCATCACTCTTCCCCACCCCCATTTTACAGAAGAAAAAAACTGAGTCCCAAAGAGCTTAAGAGACTTGACCATGGGTTGCATAGCTAGTTAATGGCAGACCAAGGACTGGAACACAGGTCCTCATTTGGTGATCTTTCTATTATAAAATATGCAATTTCCCCCCAAAAATTTGTTTTTAAAACCAGAAGACTCACAAAGTCCAAAGCCTCAGGCACTGCCCAGAGAAACCTGAAACAAGAAACCATGGTTTACTAGACATTTTGGTTTTTGTTACATTTTAGGATTTTTTTAGGGAGCCTTATTGTTGATAAAAGGGCTGTGGGCTAAGATAGATCGGAAACAAACAAACAAGGGCTATTTGAGGCCTTGCAGTGCGAAAGGAGAGAAGCCGATAAAAATTTTTTAAGTAAGATTTTGGTTTTTTTTCTCACAATGACTTTTGGGGAATTTGTAGTTCTAACTGTATATATAATCTTCTGCAGATCCTGGTGCTAAGAAATCATGGCGTGGTTGCTCTGGGTGACACTGTTGAGGAAGCATTTTATAAGATCTTCCACCTACAGGCAGCTTGTGAGATACAGGTAAATGAACAGCCCTCAGAAGTGGGCCCTGGGAGTGGGTTGTGATGGGTCCTGTCCTGCCAAGACCAGAAGCTCCCATACTTAGAGTCACTGCTGGGAGACAAAACAAATGGAGGGATTGGCTCCATATTCATGTGCTATGTGGGAGGATGTCTAGTATGTATCAATCAGTCGGTCAGCAACACATATTGAGTACTTTGTACCAGGAGCTGTGCTAGGTACTGGGAGTACAAGGACAAAAATGACACCATCCCTCCCCTCAAGGAGCTTGTGGTCTATCAGAGGAGACAGTATGCATACCGTATATATAGACATGTAAATATATTCAGAGTATATACAAAATAAATAAAAGATAGTTTAGAGAGGGAAGGAACTAAAAGTTGGGGGAATCAAAGCAAGAGGGAGAAGAGAATAATAAGTGTTTATATAGGGCCAGATATGTGTCAGGCACTGTGCTAAGTGTGTTACAAATCTTATCTCATTTGATCCTCACACCAACATTGCAAGGTAGGTGCTACTCTAGCCTCATTTTGCAGTTGGGGAAACTGAGGCAAACTGAGGCCAAATGACTTATTCAGGGTCACACAGCTAGTCAGTGTCTGAAGCTGGATTCGAACTCAAGTCTTTCTGACTCCAAGCCCAATATATTATCCATGTGTCACCTAGCTGCCCAGGAAAGGCTCCATGTGGAATGTAGTATTTGAGCTGAGTCCTGACAGAAATGAGGGTTTCTACAAAGGAGGTAAGGGAGGATATGAAGAAGAAACAAGACGAGGGCACAGAGATAGGAAATGGGGTATGTTATCCAAGGAACAGCAAGGAGTACAGTTTGGCTGAACCATAACGTAGAGACACTTTTGTCCATGGGGTGTTCTTGGCAAAGAGACTGGAGTGGTTTGCCATTTCCTTCTCCAATGTGTCCCCACTTTACAGACGAGGAACTGAGGCAAATATAAATGAGTCACCCAGGGTCACCTGGCTTATTCCGTGTCGGAGGCGGGATTTGAACTCAGATCTTTGTGATTCCAGGCATGGTGCTCTATCCACTGTATCACCTAGCTGCCCCATATGACTAAAAAGACCAGGTTCAGATCCTGTGACACTGGGCATGTCATTTTGTCTTGCCCTCAGCTTTCTCGACTATCAAATGAAGAGGTTGGATAAAATGAACCTTAAGGTTCCTAGGTTCTATAATTCTGAGAGGACAAAAAGTCAATAAGGCAATAGAATTAGTCATTTTATCTGACTTCTGCTATTATCACATTAACTTGGTTTCCTTGATCAAATTAGCTAGCTATCAGCATGTTGTGATAGTTCATATTTATGTACTACTTTGCATGTTACAAAGTATATTCTTTACAACATGCTCCATTTAAAAGATGAGGAAAATGAGGCTCCATATGTGCTTTATAAACCTTAAAGTTTTATATAAATGTGAATTATTGTTATCATTGTGTAACCCGCCCAGATCTTCTACCTTCATGTCTATTACTCCATCTAGGCCACCATAGTATAGACTAGGGGGGGAAAGTCCAGGAGCAAGGGAAAGGCAGCAGGGTCATCCTGGAGCACTTGTGGGGCGCTGAGATGGGGAGGCCTAGGCACGTGAGGGAAGGATGAGAGCAATTAATCCAGAAGGGCAGACCAGGAAGACCAGAAAAGTCCTTAGAGTGGAGCTGGAGAAGAAGACAATGGAAAGGACTAATAGCTTACAGGAGAAAAGGGGGGAAGGGGGAAGGGAAAGGAAAGGGAGAGGAGGGAGGGAGAAAGAGGGAAGAGAGAGGGAAGGAGGGAGGGAGAGAGGGGGAAGAGAGAGGGAAGGAGGGAGGGAGAGAGGGGGAAGAGAGAGGGAAGGAGGGAGAGAGAAACAAGGGAGGTGGGGAGGAAGGGAGAAGGAGAGAATATCCCCGTGAAGGAGTGTCTGTGTATGAATGAGAAGGGATTAGCACAAAGTGGGTTAAAACATGGACAAGTGATTGGGGAAGGTGATGGTCTGAGTCTGTCTTTAGTGATAATTTTTTGAGCTCTTTGTCAGAAGGCGTTCTAATGGCCTATTGCCCTCTCCTGGTAGGTTCCGATATAGCAGTTCAAGTCAGAAATCAAATCCTTCATACTCTGGCCTCTTCAAATGCAGGCAATGCTCTCTCTGCTGGACGAAAATTTGCATTGCTCTTCCATTTTCCTGGTTCAAATGCTTGTTGCCCTGAGCTATTGCAATAAATAATCCATTAGTGGAACTGGCATATTAAAAATGGCGGCACTAAGTACATAAAAATATTGGGGAAATGCCTACAGGAATTGTTAAAATAAATTAATTCGATACACTATTAAGTGCTTACTGTGCACTCATCACTGAATTAGATCCTAGGGAGATGCAACATTTAGATAAGAAAAAGGCCCTGTCCTCATGCAGTTTCCTATTTAGTAGAGGGTAAAGGATACAAACACAAATAATTATAATGCCCCATGACAAATGCATTAGAGAGGTACACAGGGCTATATTAGGTCTAAGGAGATAAAATTCTTGGAAGAACATTCTTTTGTGAACTATAAAGCACTATATAAACCAGTCGTTCCATGCCGAAGCATCAAACCTTTATTATTATTGTCGTTGTTGTTGTTGTATTAGGGAGAAAGGAACGGAACTAGGGAAAGGAAAAGAGTAAAATCTAGATTAAAGGGATTACTATTCATTTTGACATTGAAAGCCAATGTACCAATTATTTAACAATAACAACAACAATAATAATAACTTTATATAGTACTTTATAATTTACAAAACAACATCCTCCCAAAAACCCTACGAGGAAGAGGGTACAATTATTGTTATCTCCATTTTACAGATGAGAAAACTGAGTCCAGGGAGCCGGCAGAGCCCAGAATCCAAACTTAAGATTTCTGACTCCCAGCCCAGCACTGTTTCCACCACACTGTGCTGGTTTTAAAATATGCGAAGTTAACAGTGAGATTACCGTGCACTCTGAGTATCATTTGACATCCACGGTTCAGCACTTTTGGCATAACAGAACTAGGCAACACGGGCTCCGGCAGTGGTCCCAGCTCTCTGCCTCCGTGACCATATGAAACACGCCAACCCTGTTACCATCAGTTGCAGTGGCTTGAGGTTATCAGAACATCACTTATCATTTCTCCTGAGGGCCTGTCTCCTTGCTTTAGATCAGCCCGGGGCTAAAAGAAAGTGGGTCATCCCCCAACAGTGGCTGGCAGCTTCCTGAGCCATCTGCAGGCAGGCAGAGAGAAACACAGGCAGTCCTCACCTCCATCTGCCACCCAGACCCAGGAGGGTCCAGAGAGTGAGGAGAGCAGTGGCACTGCAAAAGTGTGGGCAGTTCTAATTTTCCTCATTCATTAATATATAGATGTACATATGTATAAAAAATACAAAATATATGTGTATGTATACATACATATGTATATATGTGTATAACTATCTATCTATCTATCTAGGGTGTGCTCTATGTGATCCTTGCCAGTAATACAAAGGAAAATATGATATAGTCTTTGCTCTCAAGAAGTTTCTAATCTAATAGTGGGGGAAAGACATGGTCACAAATATTGAAGTGGGTGGAATGAGGGAGGGAAGGAAGGAAGAAAGAAATGAAGGAAGGGGAAAGGAAGGAAGGAAGGAAGGGGAAGAGGGAGGAAAGAAGGAAAGAAAGAAGGAAGGAGGAAAGGAAGAAAAGAAGTAAGGAACAAAGAAAAGAAGGAAAAGTTAGCAAGATGAGAAGTGTTAGAGGAAACACAATAACTGTCTGAAGAATTAAGACTTACATGCTTGGCCCTGGGGGAAAGGACAAGGAGTACTGGGTAATAGCTGTAGAAGCAGATTTGGGTTTCATGTAAGGAAAATCCTCCTTAGAACTAAATGAGAGCTATTCCCAAGATGGAATGGGCTGCCTCTGGAGATTGTGAGGTCCCTGTCACCACAGCCCTTGGAGTAGAGTCGAGCCGATCACCTGTTCACACAGCAGAGGGACTGAACTAGATTGCCTTTGGATTTCCTTCTAACTCTGAGATTCTGTGATCTGAGAGGAGAGAGAGCACTCTTAGCTGGGTGAGCTGTTCATAGAGAAGGGGGCTTTTGTCAGCTGCTTCATTCGCCATTCAATCTCCAACTGATCATTGCATGTCTTGGGCTTTGTATTTGTATGCCCTACTGTACCTGGTGTAGTGCCTGGCATGTAGTTTGTGCTTAATTGATTACTGATTAATAGGCAAGGCACTACTCTGCCAGGTGGCTTCTTTCTGCATACTCTAAATCACCAAGTAATACCTGTAGGCAAGGGTAATAAATGTTTAGCTGAGGCCCTGGGGAGGGAGGGAAAATGTATGTCGAACCCAATTTTATGTTTAATCTCCATTATTAACATTTTCTCCATTACTTTTTTAAGTCTAATCAATCAACAAAACAATAAACCAAGCCCTAATTAGTAGCATTTGACAATTCAGAGTAAGTAAATGCTCACTCTGAAAATTTAACAATCATCTCTTGAGCCAGACCTATGGGTATGCTTGCAGGGGAAGAACCCCAGCCCAATCTCTTCCACATGGCCCAGGGGCATTTCTGTTAAATTTCTGGTATTTCAACTGTCCAAAAGCAAGGGAGTGAGTGTTTGGCAAAAAAAAAAAAAGGCCCCATAATGACCACTGACAATGCTAGGTCTGTAATCAACTGGATGATTTCAACCAACATGTCCAAGACTCTATTACTTAAGTCTTTGTGCACAGTAATAATATCCATAAAGGATTCCTAATCGTTGTCTTCAAAAATTCCAAAGGTTATCAAATGGATGAGGAAGAACTGGCCACATTTTATGGAGCTCCAAAGGGTGAAAATAGGAGCAAAAGGTAAAATTTATAAGGGAGTGAATTTTGACTCATTTTGATTTGGCTATAAATGAGCACAAATAAGCCAATTCATGAGGCAGTGAGGTCTCCATTACTAGAATGTTCAAGGAGAGGTAGATGACCGTCAGTCAGGGATACCATTAAGACAATTTCTCAATTGCGTTGAAGTTGAACTCGATGAACATAAGGGCTCTTCTAATGCTAAGATTCTAGTACTCTTGACTGTGGGAGTCTATGAACTAGCTTCTCGTTGACTCAGCTAATGACTCAATCTCTGGCATTTTGTTTCAGGCACTCAGGGAAGCTAATAACACAAGACTAGCAATTGATACTCAGGAAATAAAAACACTGTTTGCAAAGGCTGGGTTGAGAAAGCCCAAGTCTAGCAAGCAGAGTGTCTAGAACGCGGTTTTCACTCTGACTTGCTAAGTAATCTGAACATCCCCATTCAGTTTCTATAAAATATGTAACACTTGGGGCAATCCCCTGTGCCCCTTTCTGCCAGAAAAAAAGTGCTCCATGGGTCCACATTCAGTGAGCAATATAATGGAAAGAATGCTGGATTTGGAGTCAGGACACCTGGGTTCAGATGCTGGTTTTGTCATGCATGACCTGTATGATCTTTGGGCAAATCACGTAATCTCTCTGGGCCCTGGTTTCCTTATTTGTGAAATAAGCAAGTTCGATTAGACAATCTCTAAAGTCTCTTCCAATTCTAAATCTTTAATCCACTCAAAACCACAGTTCATATTTCTCTGCCAAATGTGTTTATTTTTACTGGTTAGCCAGAGGGGACACAGTTTATAAAAGCAAAGACATTTAATGATATAGCACAATAAGAAAATTAGAAATAAAATATTTCCTCCATAAAATCGGGATAGTCTTGTCACAAATACAGGAACCATACAGGAAGACTGGACTACCCTAGGGAATGTGTATGGAGTGCACATACAAAGAACATGGTCTTGGCACATGTATGGAGGGGAACATATATGGCCAAGGAGGATACTTGGAGGGATAGTTCATGCCTATGACACTGCAAGAGCATGAGTGTCTTCTGGTCATGTCTCATTGCTCCTGCTGGGCCTGTTCACTCCTAGTTACTGCTTTATGCTCAGCCTACACCCCACTGGGTGTTACATCTCCTTGTGACTGTACAATGCTGTTCTTTCTGTCTTTGTCTCTGCCACAGTCTCTGTCTTCCTCTCTCCTCTCTCTTTCTCACGTCTTTCCCTTTTGTTCTCTCCCATCTCCTCTCTACCCCTTTTCTCTCCTCTCTTCCTCTCTCCTCAAATTCTTCTTGCTACTCCCACCTACTCAACCAGTGGTATGCTGGTATGTTTAACATCTGGCTCTCACAAACATACTTTGAGGTTTAATCTGCATTATTAAAATTTTCTCCATCACTTCCTTAAATCTAGGATAGTTAAGTACTGATTTACAGCTTTTGCCAAAAACTGCTCACACTGAACTTTTCGTAATCTGTTCTCTTGAGCCAGAGGCGGCTCAGTCACACCTCTGTCCCTCAATGGGAGTCCCCATCTGAGGTGCCACTCCTTCCCCATAAGAGAAGTCATATTTATTGTCTCTCTTTTAACTTCGATTGCTGAACCTGTTTCCGCTCTTTTAATAAGAAAGGCATCTTCTTCAAAATACAGTCTTGGGTTAGGACTCCAAATGGAAAGGGCTATGACAGCTCGCATAGTCTTGCCTCCAGTGACCAAGCTCTACAGAAATGCAGACTGCTAATTAGAGTCCTTAGGTGTTTAAATTGTCCTTAAATCTACTTTCTCCAGCTAGTCTTGAAGTAGCAAGTCTTTATAACTCATTTAATTTCTGATTGCCAACTCATATCCCCTTCAAACATTTCAGGAGCAACCTTCCAACAAACCACAAAGGACTGTGTGGGTGGAAGGCACCACAATTTTCCTTAGCCTTCCAATCTCCATTGGATCTCCCAGGCAAACAGCAAGGGAAGACAAGAACAACAACCACAAAAAGGCAGACGTAGCTTCTGCGAAGCATCCTTTCCCACTACAACCTCCCCCACTAAAATTCCTGCCTTTGCTGTGGATATGTGGCCAAAGCCTTCTGGACTTTGAGCCTCAGATGAAAAATTTGCAATCCTTGCAAATTACTTTTTAATGTATCAAGATATTTGTTTTCATGCAAATAAAGGGATCAAGAAGTAATTTTTTTAAAAAGGACAAAGTGGAGCCACTATGAGGCACCTTAATGCTTTATTTCCAGTTCTTGCTTTAATGATGTATAGGTGGCCAACAACAAAACTCTTAGGCTTTAATCCTCCCCACACATATAATTGGGTTACCTGGTAAAGGATGAAGGCCCCAGCCTGGAAATTCAACAGAGACAGAATTCTGACTTTGTTTAAGTCAGAATGGCCGCTGCCAGAGACATTAAGAAGGGAAAATGTCCAATGGGTGAGAGTTTAGACTAGATACATTTCCAGCTTTAAATTCTGCAATACTACAATGCTATAATTCTATGATTATATTTTATAGGCTATAGAAACAAGTTGTTCAAGTGAAAGTGGCATTTCCCCTTGGATCAGCATCTTATCCAAAGAATAGGCCCTAGAACTATGAAAGAAATATCCTATATCCTGACTTTAGTGTTGGCAGGGCAAGATAGCTGTCTTTAAGTATATAAAGTGTATCCTATAAAATAAATTAGATTTGTAATGTTTGGTCCCGGAAGGCAGCAGGATCAAAGGATAGAAATAGAAGAGACACATTGAAATGATGCAAGGAAAAACTGCCAACAATTGGAGCTATATAAGCACAGAATTATAGGGCCTGTAGGTGGTGCGATGGAGAGAACGCTGGGCCTGGAAGACCCAAGTTCAAATGTGGCTTCAGACATTTACCAGCTGTGTGACCCTGGGCAAGTCACTTAACCCTATTTGCCTCAGTTTCCTCATCTGTAGAATAAGCTGAAGAAGGAAATGGCAAATTACTCCAGTGTGTGTGTGTGTGTGTGTGTGTGTGGTGTGTCTGTCTGTCTGTCTGTTTTGTTTGTATGTGGTTGTTTGCAATTTTTCTCCCCAATTAGACTGTGAATTCCTTGAAGGCAGGGACTATTTTTGCCTTTCTTTGTATCCCTAAGACAATGGCTGCACATAGTAGGCACTTAATAAATGCTTGTCAACATGTTAACTTGACTTAGGGAGCCTTGCTGTTTCAGTCAAGCTGGCTTTTCTGCCTCAGAGATATTACACGGTTTGGTTGACTGACCCTTTCCTCACAAGAGTTTCTCCCTTGGATAATGGTTGTGGGGGATGGGCTAGAAGCAGGACCAGGGCCCTGGGAGATGCTGCTAGTCCCTTAATAAATATTTAGTAATTTGTAATTTGGCTCTGACAATGTGATTATCTTGTTTTATTCCAAATTTACATATGGAAAAGGGAAAAAGTCAGGTGGCTCAGGAAGGTTGCTTGAGCCCCAGACACTTCTTAAAAAGAATGCTGGACCAGAAATCAGGATGCCTAGGTTCAAATTCCATTTCTAAAACTTATTCTCTGGATGACTATAGGCAAGGCAATTAAATTCTCTGAGCCTTAGTTTTCTCACCTGTAAAATGGGGTTAAAATACTTGCACTATTTTTAACCCCACAGGCTTGTTGTAGAGAAAGCGCTATGTAAACTTTTAAGTGCCAAGATAGATCTTATTATTTATCCCCAACATACTTATTTTTGTTTTCCCTTTGTTCTAGGTGTCTGCTCTGTCCAGTGCTGGAGGGTCCGAGAACCTCATCCTGCTGGAGCGAGAAAAGCATCGGCCCCATGAGGTGGGGTCAGTGCGATGGGCTGGGAGCACTTTTGGACCCATGCAGAAGAGTCGGCTGGGGGAGCATGAGTTTGAGGCTCTCATGAGGATGCTGGATAATCTGGTTAGTCCGTGGCCAGAGCCACTTCTTCCATAGGCCTTTGCCAGCCAAGGCACCAAGACTTGCTTACATAGGGCAACACTGGCATTGCTAAGAATATAGAAGACTTCATTAGTCTGGACCCCACTAACTTATGTTTCAATACTTCCATAGCTCCATGGATTTTGTTGATGTGGATATTGTCTCCATTGGTACTATTGAAACCTCTCCATGCCTTCTTGTTCTGTCCAATTCTTGTCCTTATTTCTTCCATTGGTCCTCCATATGAAACCTACCCACAGGGTTGTAAGCCTTTCTTTATGATAGGCACCCTAATGTGTACCAGCAAAGCACTAAATTAACTATTTATCTTTTATTCTTCACTCTCACCATGTGATTGGCTGAATTCCCTTTGTGTTCATGCTTGTTTAATGATTACCCTTCTGCTACTTCTGAGCAAACCATGAAACTAATTTGCAATTTGCAATTCAGAGGGCATTAGAGTTGAAGCTCATCTGGACCAATTGACTGGATCTTCCTGACCAAGAACTACTTATTCCCAGTGGACCTACCTCCCTTGATTCTCAATTTTCTTCCTTCTAGTTTCTAGTGGCCTCCTGGTTTCAGCCATCATAGTCAGATTTTTAGAATTCATGCCTTCTGACTCCCAATCTCTTTATATCATCATGAAGGTAGACAAGGGAGCCCACATTAAATGTCGTGGGCTAGAAGAGAGATCATCCAGTGAAAATGAAGGTATGGAGAGTAGGAAATCACTGGCTAATTAAGAAGATTGGATAAAATCTTAAATAGCCCTGTGTAGAAATCAACAAAGGAAGTCACAGAATCATAGGATTTAGGTCAGGAAAGAACCATAGAGAACATCTAGTCAGATCCCTTATTTAACAGATGAGGAAACTGAAGCCTGGAGGAGTAAAATGACTTTCCCAGGTCATAGAGGTAATACATGTCACAGACAGTCACTCACTGTCATTTATACCCTGTGCTCTATGCCCTTTTGTTTACCCAGAGCTCTTCCCACCACTGCAGAAACTACAGTGAACTAAAAAAAAATGGCGTTTCCACTCTACTGTATGATCAGAATCTGACTAGGCTTCTTCTCATCACGGCCCCCAATACTTGTTGTATAGGATGGGGTGCTAGCATCCAGACTCCCTTACGTCATTATTCAGGGCTCCCAGTTTAATAGAGCTAGGTCTAGCCATCCCTTTTGTCTTCCCCTCCCTCCTGCCCTATTTTTCTCACCCTACTTTACATAAACTAATTCTATAAAGAAACTCCTCACCTTGTATGTACCCTAATTTCTTTTGTAAACATAAGATACATCTCAAGTTTCTTTTCAGGCACTTGAGGGCTAGTTTCTTCCCACCCTTTCACCCTACTCTAATACTACCATAGACAGTACATGCCAATGTTTTTTATGGGTCTAAAGAAGAACTGGTAGCTATGAGCGGCAACATGCTCCCTTTAACCTTGGTGACACCGTGGCTCCTCTTGCTAGCATCCCATTCCCAGCCTTGAATGCTAAGTAGCAGATGTAGTATTCAAACCCAGGTGCTCTGATTTCCACAGTTATCTTGTGATTTAGAACAGTCTTGCAAACCAAATAGTAGCTGTAAGATACAGCCAATAATAATAATTCTACTTAATTCAACAAACTTGGATTAAACATCTTTTACTTACAAGGCTCTATCAGATACGCAGATGAAAAATGATGTAGTTCCTGCCCTTAAAAAGTTTACATTCTAATATGGCATGTACACAAATAAATACATAAATAAATAAAGGCACTTGATCTGAGCTTTGAAGGAAGAGGTTTTCAAAGGTGGAGTACATCCCAAGTATATGGAATAAACTGTGGGAATTCATGTTTGTAGAAAAAGACAAGGCAAGATCAAGAAACACCTTGTATAGAATGGCTTAAAAGGGGGATTTTATAAAGAAAGGTAAGACTAGAAAGGCAGGTTGGAGCCAGGTTTTGGAATATCTAGAATGCCAAAATAAAAAACTTGTATTTTGTCCTTTAGGCCTGTATAGACAACCTGTTTCAAGCAGGGACTACAAGTAGGGTCTGGTTTCCAAATTCATTCTCAAGCCACAAACAACTCTTTGGGAAGCTGGAGTAAAATACATTTACTTTATTCAATTAAAGTTTGTTAAAGCAATTGTGAGCATCATAATAACTTTAGCCAGACAATTAGATTTATGGAAATCTGCACAAAAAAACACTATGGGATAACTAAACATACAGAAATTATGTTTTTAAAATTCATGGCCACAATAATAATATAAGCGACAAAATGACAGTATTTAATACAGTGGCTGGCACATAGTATGTGTTTAGTGTTTATTGAATTGACTTGATATCATCCTAAAAGAAAGGCAAACACAATCACATCTTAGTTTTTTTTTTAAATCATGTCCTGATTTTAGAAATAAATTTTAAAATCTGACATATATTAAATCACTGTATTAGTTCCATAATAGGCTCATTGTAGCTATCAAAGCCCACCTGATAAAATCACGCACCATTAGTTTTTGCATATGTTGATAGTTTTTGTTATGTAGTCATTTTCAGTTGTGTCTGACTCTTCATGAGCCATTTGGGGTTTTCTTGGCAAAGATATTGAAGTGATTTGCAATTTCCTTCTCCAGCTTATTTTACAGATGAAGAAATTGAGGCAAACAGGGTAAAACAATTTGTCCAAGATCTGAGGCCCTGACTCCACAGGGCAGGTAGGTGGCACAGTGGATAGAGTGCTGGGCCTAGAGTCAGGAAGACCTGAGTTCCAATCCAGCCTCAGACCCTGGGCAAGTCACTTTACCCTGTTTACTTCAGTTTCCTCATCTGTAAAAGAAGCTGGAGAAGGAAATGGCCAAGAACACCCCATGGGGTCAAGCAAAGTTGGACATTACTGAAATGATTGAATAACTATTTCCTGACTGCAGGTGCTGCACTCTATCTACTGTGCAACCTAGCCGCTCTATGCTGACAGCACTCTAGCCCTGGTTTTAATCTGAATTCTACAGACATTGCCTCGGTCCCATGGTCCAAGAACCCCCATAATCAGTGTGTCCTTATATACCTGGCACCCGGCTTGTACCAGATGCTGGGACTTGGTTTCATATATTGATCTTTCACTAGCTCTGACATTTTCAAATGCTAAACATCAGTTCTCAAAAGGGACAGTCATATATCAATGACTAGCTGTCAGATTCTCAAGCTGTAGAATTACAAGGTCCAGTGAAGTGACTCCTCTAGTAGTCTAGTAACAATGGCTCCATACGGTTGGGTGATAGCATTGCTCAAGGGATGGATGCAATGGGGCAGGATGTAAGGAAGCATTACACACCCACAGCAGTGCTATGCTGTGTGTATATGCCCACTGAATGAAGACTATACACAATTATATTCAATACATTAGGCACTCATTATATTTGCTGGAGAAGGTGCAAGGTGACGTGTGTTTGCTCAAACCCTAATTTTTCCATGGTAATTTACTCCTACTTTTTTCTTCTTAGGGTTACCGAACAGGCTACACCTATCGATACCCTTTTATCCAAGAGAAGGCAAAGCACAAGAGCGAGGTTGAGATCCCAGCCACTGTGACAGCTTTTGTTTTTGAAGAGGATGGAGCCCCCATCTCCACTCTTAGGCAACACGCTCAGAAACAGCAGAAGGAGAAGACCCGTTGGCTGAACAGTCCCAACACATACCTTCGGGTCAATGTGGCAGATGAGGTCCAGAGGAGCACAAGCAGCCCTCGGACCAAAACAACAGTAAGAGTTGAAAAGGGAGGGTAGTTTTTACTTGTGTGACCACAAAGAGCACTGCTGACCAGGTGCCTGACCCTCTTCATTGATGAGGCTGGAGGCTGGCAGTCCCGTGCTTGCCCTAGAAATTATTTAAGCCAATATCAGATTGTACCAAACACTCTTGGGTAATACCAAGCTCACTAACATTATCAAAGAGCTGTCCACATCTGTCCCCTAGCTTGCCTCTTTTGTGGATAGTAGTGTCCATCCAGTTAGTCTAAGGCCATGACCTATATGGATTCATCTCTTTAGTTTATTGGCTCAGAACTCATCCACCGGTGCTCTCTTCCCTTGTTTCCGAGTTTCAGTAGATCTCAATGGACATGTGAACAGGGTATAATGGAGCTGAGCACAAAAGCACTTTACTTATATCCATTGAAGTGAAATAAATAAATTAAAAATAGCTTTTGTACAGCCTCTATGCCTATGGCCTCTCTCTGACCTGGATAGCCTTTAACTGGGCTATAGGCTTGTCTCAGACCTAGAGGCATAGGTCAGGTGCTTAGATTCAGACCTTTCCATCAGCTACTCACACTAGGAGCTAGCAAGCATCCTCCCATTGCTTTTCCACTCATGACTTTAAGTAGGGTCAACGTCCAATCAGTTGAAGGAACTTGGGACCTTGAAAGCTGATTCTCCTTCCATCTTCCCTTTTCTGGTCATTCTGTCACTGGTTAGGACCTGCAATCCTGCCTTCCAACTGCTTCCTCAGGCACTTGGCTCACTGGCCAGTCTTCTTACATCTTGTATCACCCCTTCCCCAATATACTCTGCAATCCAGTGGCACTAATTTCCCTGATATTCCTTGCATAAGACAATCCATCTCCTGACTCCAGGCATTTTCACTGGCCTAAGTGAAGTTCCAGGCCTGGAATTCTCTACCTCCTAATCTCTACTTCTACTTCCCTGGCTTCCTTCAAGTAGCAGTAAAAAAAAAAATAAAATATCACCTCCTATTATGAGCCTTTCCTGATCCCCCTTAATTCTATTCCTTTCTGCTGATTATCTCCAGTTTATCCTGTAGATAGCTTGTTTGTACTCCCTCATTAGACTGTAAGCTCCTTGAGGGCAGTGCCTGTCTTTTGCCTTTGTATCCCCAGCACTTATCTCAGTGCCAAGCACATAGTAGGCACTTAATAAATGTTTGTTGACTGACTGGCTGGCTGGAATGTATAGGACCCATCACTCCTTTACTATTTGTTCATCAGTAAAGAAGTAATGGAATGGTCTTAATATTAGTTCCAGGGATAAAGAGTTTCCTCCCATGCCTTCCTTTCTTCATTCTTGTCCTTGAACTCTCCATGCCTTCCCTGACTTGTCACTTTTTCCCCTGGTGATGACTCCCTGATTAGTTGGCTCTTTTCCGATTATAAATGTTGAGGCCCACAACAATCCTGTTGCAGTATTTCCTGTAGCGGAAAGCTCTGCAAGTGTTATTATCTCATTTTACAGATGAGAAAGATGAGATTCATTGTGGCTAAATAACTTGCCCTTGGTCACATAGCTGGTATCACAGGTGGAGAGTTGAACCCAGCTCTTCCTGACTCCAAGTCCAAGCACTCTAGACGGTATCCTATGCTACCTCATATGTGCTTATGACACTGAAAATGGGTCTATAGGCAATCATCTTCATCACTCAGACCAGAGGTGATAGACCTAAAAAGAAGCCCAGGGAGAGACAGTAGTACTGACCATCTCTGAAGGACAAACAGATTGTAGATTTCATGGAATGCTATCTTTCTGAGCATCCTTATTCTTTTGCCTAACCTTGTCTGTGTTGTATTTGGTCAGTGGATGAAAGCAGATGAGGTGGAGAAGTCTAGCAGTGGAATGCCAATCCGAATTGAAAATCCAAACCAATTTGTGCCTCTCTATACGGACCCCCAGGAAGTGCTGGAAATGAGAAACAAGGTAAAATGATGCCTGGTTATCTCCTCTGTTCATGTCTCACTTGGTATTATTTCGGGGCTTACAGTTGTGGTCTTCAGGATGAGCCTGAGTGATGCCATAGATTATTCATGAAGTAAAGATGTCTGATAGCTGCATCTGAGAAAATGAATGCAAACTGAATTTCTATAAAACACATTTTATTCTTTCATTGGCATATGTTATGATTTCATAAATGACTTGTCTTTATTTTTTACTCTGTGCCTCACATCTCAATAGCTCCAGTTTTGAATAGTATTTCTTGAACTGTTTGAGTAAAAGACTGCTTTTCTAGGACCAGAGGACCCCGCCCCCAACAGAGAATCTACCCACCTGTTCCCACTTGACATCTTGCTTCTCAAATCTCAGTTCAGGAATATTGCAAAATACTTCTCATCATAATTAAGTGACTAATTTATCTTGAAAACAAAAATAGATATTATCTAATAAACACAACATTCATTCATCCATGCATTTAACAAGCATTTATTAGGCATCTACTCTGTAAAGAAAGTTGTACTTGTTATGCAAAAAAAATTAGACAGTCCACAGTCCCTGCCCTCTTGGAGCTGATGGTTTAATAGATGAATAAGATATATAAGGCATGGGAAAAGGAGAATTAAGGTCATATTAGGGGTGGGGAAAGGTAAGAGCATAGCTTAGGTTCAGTGGAATGTAGGGCATATAAAGGAGACTAATATGAAATAAGGAAGGAAAGAAAAAGTGGTGTCAGATTGTGGAGGGCTTAGAATTCCAGGCAAAGTGGTTCTAATACATTATGTTAGGAACTATAAGAGACAAAGAGCTAGAGGGCCTTCAAGGACCACACATCCCTAGACCACACTGCAGAACCACTACCCAAAACCAATTATGTATCAGGAATGGCATCTTCTAAGGGATCTACCATCCCACCATGGTGAACTAACCACTGGCTCTCTGTTCTTTCCCTTTTCAGATTCGGGAGCAAAATCGTCAAGATGTGAAGTCAGCAGGTCCTCAGTCACAGCTGTTGGCTAGTGTCATAGCAGAGAAGAGTAGGAGTCCGGTCAGCAACCAAAATTCCTTTCTGAAGTGGAAACATTTTTTTTCCATTTTGTTGGTTATAGCTTTTAGTGAGAAAACAGAAAATTGTGGGATAGAGGGAGGGAGGAAGGAGTATCAGGTCTTCTAACTCAGGAGTTCAGATTTTTATAACTAGAAGGGGAATCAGAGGTTATGTACTCTGACCTCCTCATCAGCAAATCAATCAACAAGCATTTATTATGTACCTACCATGTGCCAGGCACTATGCTAGGCATGAGGGATACATGCTGCAGATGAGGAAACAGGCTTAGGAAAGCTAAGTAACTTGTCCAAGATCACACAGGTATATAAAGTAGAAAAGTTGGGAATCAAACCTAGATGCTCTAATTCCCAATTCAGCACTCATTCCCCTCTATCACTCTACCTCTTCTCATCCCTGCCTCTCCCAGTTAGTTCTGATATGATTGTGAGTGAGTCAGTTCTACTCCCACTTATCCCCAAATCTTATCCTCCTAATCTATCTCAAGGCTTTTTGTTTGTGTTTTGTTTGCTTTGGTTTGTTTTTGAGAACAAGAGAAGCCATTTAATTCTGCCAGGCTACAACACATGATCAGGGAGGGGAACATTTTTCTTCTATCCCCCTCCCTAATTCTCTTCTGAAACCACAATTCTGGGTCTAGTTTCAGCCTGAGTCAAAGCTGAGTCATGGAGAGTGGCTGTTATCAGCATCCAGACTCTGAACTTTCTGTGCAAAGACACCATGCTGTGAGGTCTTAGCTTAGATGCCATGGGAGGCAGTAGGGACATAGAGGAATCAGAGATTTCCCACAGGAGAGAGAGAGACAGTTGACATCCACACCTTTTCCACCTTAAACCCAGAGCTCTCTTCCCTTAAAACAAAAGTTCATAACTTTTGTTGTAACTTGGACCCCAGTAGTGGTCTGGCAAAACCTATGGACCCCTTCTCAGAACAAAGTTTCTAAATGTATAAAATAAAATCCAGAGGATTACAGAGGAAATCAATTCTATTGAAATATAGTTATTAAAAACATTTTTACAAATAAGTTCGTGGAACTCAGGTTAAGAATCCATGTCTTAGAAGGTATGCCTAAGTCTGGACTCCAGTCTTCAAACTAGAGAATCTGCTCATTCTGAGTGAAGGGAACTTCTCCAGACATATTGTAATCAGGCCTCAGTGTGGCCAGTAGAAAGAATACTGTATTGGGACTCATCCAGGTCTGAATCTGGCCTCTGCCACTTTCTACCTGTGTGATATTGAATTAGTCACTTTTCCTCACTGACCCTTAGTAATGATGAGGATGGATCTGAACCCCCCTAAAAGGAAAAGACCATGTCTTTGGACTCTGTCCAGATCTGCTGCTGATTACCAGGTCAAGGTATCTGTCCAGATCCCAAAGACTTGGTCTTTTCCTTTTAGGGATTCAGATCCCATCCCCATCAGTTTTCCTCATAGGTAAAATGAAGAGGTTAGACAAGATGATCTCCGAAGTCCCTTCTGGCTTCTAAGATATGATCCTATGGAACAGAAAGTAATACATTTGTCATTTTAATGCTTGAACTAGGATAGTATTTAGCATAACATTTTTGATTCTTTAGGAAGTCATTGTTACTGATCACCAAGTCAAGGAATTTTACCTAGAGGTAAACAGAAGTCAACACAAGAAATTTTTTCTGTACTGTATGGTACAACAGGATCAATTAATATTTGCAAAATGGCCTGAGGTTCCCCCAACATGTTCCTTTCCAGGGTTTAAATGGTTTAGAATGCTGAAGCTACAGTGACTTGGTGTATTTTGCTTATGAGTTTCAAATAATTGCAACCCAGCCTCAGGATTTGGTGAGGTCAGGAAGAGCAGTAAGCTCAGGGGCCCAGAAGTCAGCTCTGAGCCTGGTGCAAGAAAGGACCCATTTCAAACCTTGCCTCAGACACTTTCTGGCTATGTGACCCAGGGCAAATCATTCATCTGCAAAATGAGGATAACAGTAACCTACCTCCCAGGGTTGCTATGAAAATCAAATGAGATAGTCTATGTAAAGCACATTGCAAACCTTAATAAATGGTCGTTACTATTAGCAGTATTGTTAGTATTATTCTCAAAGCCTTGTATGCCCTGGCACTGATCCTTCTGAGATTTTGGCTGACCATTGAGGTTTTGAGCTGCTTGGAGAAGGGCTGAACAGTATTATCCTAGCTGAGAAATGCAAAATGCGAAAGTACAGTATTAGAGATGGGTCTTCTTTAGTCTGTGACATACTCTGGCTTTGTTCTTTGACATTAGTTTGACAATCTTGTTCAATCTTGGAGACCTGAGAACTTTTACATAGGAGTCAATGTCTAAGCTTGGGTGGTAGTTAAGTATGGATGGTAGAGTCAGCCCCTGGAAAAAAATACCTTGAGCTGCTTATTTCCCAACAAGGTGCATATCGGTCTAGCCCTGGCAAGATAACCAGTGTTTGGGCCACAGTAACCACAGAGAAAATTGGTTGGTAGGTTTGGCTCTCCGTGTTCATTGGGTGTGACATGTTTTCTGTGGTTAACTTTCAGTCTACAGAAAGCCACCTGGCCTCCAAGGGTGACACAGATACCAAAGACGACTCAGAGGAAACAGTGCCTGTGGGACCAGAACCCCCCAATCCCTTCAGCCAACTCACTGACCAAGAACTGGAGGAATATAAGAAAGAGGTGGAGAGGAAGAAACTCGAACTTGATGGTAAATTGGGATCCAATCTGATTGTAATAGGGATGACAAGGGTTCCTCAGAAGTATTCCAGAGCAACAGCACAGTGAGAGAGTGGAGAGTGGGGTGGGGACTGAGAACAATGGATTCTGGTTTTGCCATGGACCAGTGTATGCATCTGGGTAAGTCACTTAATCTCTAGCTTTAGCTTGCTCATGTATCAGATGAGGACACTGAACCCTACCATATCTCCCTTTATCCTTTTATGAGGCCAAAATGAGATCATAGGATTTAAAGCTTAAAGTGACCTTACACCTTATCTAGTCTAATATAATTTTACAAATGAAAAAACTGAGAGCCATATAGAAGAGTGACTTTCCAAATGGATGTGAAAAGACTCTGGAAGTGTTATTTATAGTGTTAGTCCTACACCCACCCACGTCCTCAGATGGGAAAATATTCCAGTCATTCCAGGAAACAGATTCTATCCTGTTATTGAAGCCTTCCAGAAAAGGAGATACTACAGTCTTTGTCATTCATCCATGGAAGTGGCAGCCCCTCATTATCAGGATATTCTTCCTTAATTAGGTTAACCTACCCTAACACACCTGCTCCCTGTTTCTTGTTGAGATGGATGAGAGCACTATCTTGTTTGTTTCTTTGATTCCTGGCAGACACCAGGTGAAGGGAAGAGGAGGAGGAGGAGAGGAGGAAGAAGAAGAGGAAGAGGATGAGGAGAAAGAGGAGAAGAGGGACTGTGTCTAGTTTATAAGCACTGATGAATACATGTAGGGCATGCTGCCCATAAAAATAAAGAATGTCAGAGTTGAATGGTATCTTAGGACAATGAATGCTAGAGCAGTAAGAAATTTTACAATATCAAATATCTAAGCTACAAGAGACCTTAAAATACAGAATTTAGGATATTAGAGCCGAAAGGGAGATTAGATATAGACTATATTAATGTCAGAGCTGGACAGAACCCTGGAGAACACAGAGTATTAGAACTGGAAAGAATTCTAGAATGTACAATGTCAGAGCGGATGAAATTCTGTACTATAGTATCTAGAAGGTGAGGACTGGAAGGAATCTTAACATATAAGTTAGAATGTCAGAATAAAATCAGTCAATGAACATTTAATCATCATTTAAGCACGGACTCTATGCTAGGTTCTGGAGATACAGTGACAAACATTAAACAGCCCCAACACCCAATGAGTTTCTATTCCATCTGAAAAAGAACTCTAGAATACAAAACACAGTATGTCAGATATAGGAAGGACCTTCAAGATCTTATCATTCAATCCCCTCATATTTACAGAGAAAGAAATGGGGGTCCAAAGAGATTATCAAATGTTTAAAGTCAATAATGCAGTAATAACAGAGGAAGGAAAAAAACCAGGCAGGTCTCCTACTGTCAGTTCATGGCACTTTGCATTGTTTATTACACCACTACTATTGGTATCTCACTGGTCAGCAACCCAAACCCAAATTAATCCAATTGACCCTAAGAAAAATACTTTTTTTTCCCAGTTGAACCTCTCAGGCTTTGATTGTCTTTTACTCCTTCCTAACCCCTTTAGTACTTAGCACAGGTCCCAGTACCTTCCTCTTCTATATTGTGCTGCCAGAAAGGTGATCCATCTTTCTGTCCCATGGGGGAGGCCTTTGATAGAAGTATACAGAAACAGATGGGGATAGAAAACTCAGTGCACCTGGTACCCAAATGCCACAAGAGAACTAACTAATTTATCATGTCCAGGAGTTGCTTACTTAGAATGGCTCAGCCATTCAGAATAGTATTTGCCTGAGTGTGCTCCACTGAGCCCTAGGATCCCATACAATATAGGGATTCCAATGGAATGGAGGTTCCAAAAGACAAGTATGATGTTACAGGTATTTCCCCTTCTAAAATGTTAAATGTGAAATGTTGTTTAAAGAAATTCATATCATTTGAGGCAAATTTTGGATAGGAACTAGAACTGTAATTTCATTAGCATAGGAAATTTAAGGATGAACCCCTCTACCAAAGGAGGTTGACACTTTCTCTGCAATTTATAATCTGAGAGAGTAGCCCAGAGAAGTCATGTCAAACTCAAGTAGAAACAGAGGCCACTAAACCATATGTAAGGATCCCTGTGGGCCACATGTTGGCTTAGAACACCACACATATTTATATATTACTTTTTCATTAGTACATCAACGTATTAAGATCATATAGGAATTATATTTCAATCGGTTTGGGCCATATATGGGAGTGTTGTGAACTGTAGGAGGCAGCCAGCTGAGTGTTTGACACCTCTGGCCAAGAGTACTCTAAGAGGGTAAGTGTTAAATATCTCTAGGGACACACAGTCAGTAGGTGTCAGAGACAGGACTCAATCTAGGAGCAAGGTCTCCCTAGCTCCAAAGCCAGTTGTCTGTCTACTACATCATGCTTTGTCCCTTAGACGTGTAAAGAGGCTTAGTCTACTTTTGCTGCAGAATTTCCCTGCCCATCCTCCTCTTTTATCTCCATAACATTCCATATCCCTAATTTAGTTTCTATCAATATATTTCAAGCCCTCCTAAATGTTAGCTGACCAAAATGATTTAGAAAATGCTGATTTAGGGTAAATTTAGAATCTGTTGTTTGGTCACTTCAGTTGTGTCCAATTCTTCGTGACCCCATGTGGGGTTTTCTTGGCAAAGATGCTGGAGCGGTTTGCCATTTCCTTCTCTAGCTCATTTTACAGAGGAGGAAACAGAGGCAAACAGGGTTAAATTGACTCCAGGCTGGGGCACTGTATCCACTGCAACACCCAGTTGACCTAGATTTAGAATGCCAAAACCTTAAACAAAATCATGAAATGAAGAGAAAAAGCATTTATTAAGCACTTACTATGCACTATGTTAAGTGCTAGGAATACAAATGGAAAAATGAAACAGTCACAGCTCTCAATAAGCTCACATTCTGATTAGGGGAACAAACACATCTGGGAAGCTTCAGTTGCAGGGCAAATGGAGAGGCCCAATAGTCCTTAGGAAGCAGAGGCTAGGCAGATGACAAGGCCCAGTGATTGTCCGGATATACTGAAAAGTTCTAAAATCAAGGTCATGCCTTGCCTAAGCACACACTTCCAATCCATAGCAGGTATTTTAACAAGCACAAACTACGTATGCCACCCTTTGCCAAAGTCCACCTCTAGCCAATGCCTCATGTTGTAGATTCCAGAGAACTCTGGGCTTTTGAAGGTTGTACCAATGGAGTGTAATTTCTAACAGGTACTACCAAAATGGAAAGGTTTCGAGTATAGCTCTGGCAATAGCTCCAAAGATTTCTCATCCAAAGCCCTGCTTAGCTTAGCTTGTGGAAAGGCTCACAACCAGTGTGTGTATGTGTGTCTGTGTGTGTCTGTGTCTGTGTCTGTATTGAGAGGGTAGGGAGAAGAGGAAGTGCTGTGTTACTTTGGTGGCAGAACTGTCCTCCCCAGATGAAATCGCAAATCGTTGAAGTATTACACTATGTACACAGTGCTAGGCTAGGAGGTAAGGATTATAAATGCAAATAAGACACAGCTCCTATTCTCAAGAAGTTTATAATTCCATTATATAGATAAACATGCACATATAAAATGAATAATGATATATGCTAAATGCTAAAATGAGTGGTAGAAATAAGAAAGCTTATCACCTATGTGGCCTTAGACAAATCATTTAACCTCTCTGAGCCTCAGTTTCCTCATAAGTAAAATCGGGGCTGACTAGATAATCTGACTTTCACCTCTAAATCCTAGAATGGTGTGAACCAAGCCACAGAGATGGGTGTAGTGTATGAGAACATCATTAAGAACCCTCAGGAAACAGGGTGAGGGACTTTCTGAAGGCAGCAGACTATAGAAAGAATTCTTTGTAAAACTGTATTTGTGAAGGCCAGAGTTGGAAAGGTGATCAAACATTTGTAAAGTGTAAAACACTACAATATGTAAGAATTATTATTATGTGGTTATTGTTATTGAGGTTCGGTAAGCTGAGCTTTTTGCAGTCTTTGTAGGAGAGGGCAGAATGGGGGCTGGGGTGGGGAGGGGTCTGGCCTGCTGCCCGTTGGAAGCTGCCTGTGAGGCTGGTGATGGTGTCCAGCCTGTTCGGGGGCACCACTCTGACTACATGTAACCTTCATCCCTCCATCTGGTTTTGACTTCAGAACTGGGATGTAAATGGTGATGAAGAAAACTTTATCAGCCCCTAATCTTCCTTATTTTATTGGATAAATTGTTCATATTCAAAAGAAGGAGTAAAGCAGAGTTTTCCTTTAGCATTAATAGATCCCAGGGCAAACAGGATGAAGAATGGTCCTGTTCCTAAGGGTGATAATGACCTGAGAGGTGGTCATTTATTGTTGTGGTGTTTCTATCACCTTGTTCACAGTTTATACAAGCACAATAGCCAATACATATTTAACACCTCCTAGACAGCCCCTCCCATGTTGTGATCACTCTAATTCTTTATGTCAGAGTGGTAACTAGCATGGGGTAAACAGGGTTTTCTAGGGAGGCCCGCTTCCTTCTGAGCATAAGAGACATTACTTCCTGACTTGGAAGAAGTATTTCCTCCCGGTAATAACTGCTGTTCCCATATTTCATCTCACAATCCTCCATTGTGCTCTGTGCCTTCCCTTGCAACACTCATAAGGGCAAGATCTGGACTGTCCCTTTTCCCATCAGGACCGTACCCTGTGATCCAGCTTTCTTCTATATCTCCAATCCTAAGACACACAATTTTCTCCAAGTAAAAAAATTCTCTTACGTCCCATCCCAATTTTCCCTAACATACATCCTTACTTCTTATGGATGACCTCACCTCTGATTCAGGCCATCTAAAATGATTTCACTCATCTCCTTTCATTTTCAGTACATTTTCTGTCTCTTCATATATCCTCTCATCTTTCCCTCCCAGCTCAGAGAAGAGGGTTTCCTCTTCTGAATAGCTGCTTCACTCAGATATCTGGCATTGCTTTTTAAAGTGAAACTGTTCCATCAAAGGATAGCTCTTTA